GTGAGAAGGGAGGAAGGTGGTGGAAGGGGGAGAAGTCGAAGAGGTGGCTGGAGGAGGGGGCAGAAGCTGGGTGCGAGGAGGAGAAGGGAGAGAAGGCAGCGGGAGAAAAGAGCTGCTGGCAGGAGGAGGGGGAGAAGGGAGAAGCGATAAGGAGGGTGATGACGAAGCGAAGCTGGTGGATGAGGAGAGGGGACAAGGAGAATGGTGGTGGGGAGGAGGCGGAAAAGGCTGCGTGGAGAAGCGAGCGAAGGGCCGAGAAATGGAGAAGGTGGTGAAGAAGAGGAGGGAGAAGCTGTGTGTACACCATAGAAAATTTGTGACGTAGTCAATTTAAAAGTTCAAAGGACTTCGGCTGCATGGCTCCACTCATAGTGGTGTGAACAAAGCATGCATGGCTATCATGTCAGCTGAACATGCTTTGGCAAGATGAGGCGACGGCGGCTGACGAGCAGAGAGAAGAGATGGGAACCGAGAGAGAGAGAGAGAGAGAGAGCGGGAGAGGAAGGAGCCAGAGGACAGGAAGAGACAGCCGAGGCCGAAGACGAGGAGAAAAGTGTGTGAGAGAGAGAATAGAAAAGCAGGGGAGATGAAGCAAATACACCCAGAGAAGAAGCATGAGACGAGAGAGAGAGTGGGGGATGGGGGGGGGGCGGCAGAAAGACGTAAACCGACAAGAGAGGCGGTACTACAGCAGCTCCATACACGAACACGTAAGCATACTTTCCTCTACCACGACAATACAAACAGCGCAAGTTATTGCGATTATTTCATAGCCATTGAATTTACTCGCAACAACGGCGCGCCGGTTAAAGATATACACAACGTCGCCAGTAACGGCAAAAACTAATAACTTGCCAAGAAAATCCTGCGCGCCGTCAAAACAGTGACGTTACCTATTCATTATTAGTAAATATTATAAAGCACACAGATCTATCCATGCACACGTGATGTCGGCCCGCCCGCGACCAGTTTGAACGTATGAGATGTTGAGAACGGCCAAAGAAAATGATTTTGGTAGTCAACGGTGACGAATGCACAAGCGCCATCTTCGTGTACATTATCTTCATCGCATAGCCGGAAGCGTGTTTTTTTACCGTACCACTAATGCGTAAAATCGCTAGCCGGCTATCAGAAACACGCAGCCTAGCTGCCTACTCCTAACCCTAACCTTGAACCCTTAATTAAATTTAATTAACACTAATTAAATTTAACTTTAATTAAAAAAAATAATTAAATTAATTGTGTCAAAATAAATCATGTTCAAATATTTGGCGTTAAAGGGATCGTTTTACTCTAGGGTTCTAGGTTATTTTCAGTTAATTTAGGTTAAATTACGCTACATAAAAGTTTCATGGTTTCTCAATCACATAGCAATATATTAAAAAATGTTTTAAGTGAGGTTTACTCTAGGTTCTAGGTTATTTTGAGCCTAATTTGCCAGTTATAATTTACGCTACATAAAAGTTCATTGCGTTCATCACCATTAGAAATATTGCCTAAAATTGAATATCGTTCGGTTAAATGCATTTAGGTATAAATTAATTGCCACTTTTGTCATTAGCTCGTCTGTACGTTGCAAAATAAATGTCTCAAATATCGCAAACATTTTCGGCGGTTGCAGCCGCGGTGCGCGGGTCATGAGCGCCGTTTCAAAATTTCGTTAGCGTTGATGTGTAATTAATCTACTATAACAATTAAATTAGGTATCTGGTAACAAATACGTGTCGGTATAGACGATTTGTTATACAGTTGTATGCAGTAAAATTCTAGAGTCTACTATCCCTTTAATTGGAGAAAAATAGTTAAATGGATAGAGATAGAAAAATAAAAATAAAATAAAAATAAACAGATTCCTCGAACCAACGACCTTCAGACGTAACGCCCGCCGCTGTACGAGCTCGGCTATTCAGCGTTATTGGAATTATATATTATGGATGTGCCATGCATACGTGGATGTGCGTGCATGTGATTGGTCGGTGCGGTGGTTTCTGGGGAGAAACGCCTAGAGATTTTACGCATTAGTGGTACGGTAAAAAAACACGCTAGCCGGAACCCGGCGAGGAGACTGGGGGAAGACGGGAACAGTCATTAACGGAGTACTGGCCATGGCTACAGGTTCGCCATGACATACAAGTACATAGAAACTTCAAACTACATGGTATCTCTATGTACAATAAAAAACTGCAAATCTGGTGACGCAACAGAAAAAAGTACAGAAAGATTTATAACTGGCTGAGTGAGATCTTTCATCGCCAGCGCTAGGAATGATGAATTATGTATGGCTGCGAAACCCCTTTTAAAATTTGCTGCACTAATCACGTAGATAGACACGCGTCGAGTTACGTTGTGAGTTCGTGCGTGTCAAGACCTTACAGATACGTCATGGTACGGAAATAGATGTATTTCACATTCATTAAAAAATTCAATATTATTTTATATACGGAATGAGTCAGCAAAATGTTTATTCTTAAACAGAGTATATTTCGGCCGATGATTTCAACGGCTGGCTGTTTCATGTATTTTAGCGTAGAACGAGTTGGGGGTAAAATACTAAATACTAATGATGTATCTGTGAGAAAGTGTAATGCGTCTGCATAAAACAGACTCTCCTACGCACTGACATGGAACGTTTTGGCACAACGATTATATGGATGCGGTCGGTGCCATCACGTCCAATCACCGTAGAACCAAGCTAGATAACGTTGTCAGCCTAAGCGTAATTGTTAAAGAAAATATTTTTCCGGGACACAATGCCATATAGTCTACTAGCCAGCCTAGTGAACCTAGAAATGTCGAGTACTATAAGGTTTTATGTTGGAAATGCAATATACAGGTCATAAGGACTCACAATTTGCCGGATGCTAATTTGCATATGTGTAGCATTTTGCATACCCCTACTATCCTTCCGACTGCCAGAAATCCAATATGGCTGCCATGCATAATGAGGTAAACCGTAAAATCACCATAACTGAGCAACTGTTGGAAGATAGAGACTTTGTTTTGATGTTTAGGCCCATGTTCTTAACACCAAGGATTCCATCGTCTATAGGACTTCTATATTTAACAGTAAGTTATTATTATATATGAAAATGTTAAATATTATGATGCAGCTAGATCATGGAATACATAGATGAACACCCAACACGATCAAACTACTTACTATTCGCCTTCGTCTTCATGGTTGTGATCATTCTCTCCAGTCTCTAGATCCTCTTCTCCTTCCTTCTGCTCTTTATATCCTTCTTCAGCATCATCTCGTTGTGTCAGTGAGTTACAACACTCATTTCCTCCTTCACACACATAGTAGCTGGTACATGACAATCCATTTGCTGCACAACCACACTTCCTGCTGCAGGCATTTCCCTCTGCTCGGCAGCTGCAGCTATAATGACGTCCATGAGGTTTTTTGGTGTGTTAGGTTCTTTTGACAATACTGGTACCACTTCATCATTCACAGTAACTTTTCATCCATAG